CACGCTCCCACCCCATTTCGGGCCACGCTGCGTGCCTTGACGCTCTCCCCATCTCTCGCCCCCCCCCCCCCCCCCCCCCCGCTCATCGCAGAACAAAGAGGGGGAATTGAAAATACACTGCCGTACTTCTTGTGAGCATGATACCTTGAAAAAAGTGAGGTACCAACTTCCATTTTAGTGTTTGGCTGTATCTTGATGTAAGAAAGGCCACCATTGAAAATTGGGTTGCCAAGAAAAAATCCAAGATGGCCACCACCATATGGAAAGCAGCCACCCCATCATTTGTGGACTATGTTTTCATAATGCTTAAAAGTGTAATTTCCTAAAATAATTGGGGTGGCCTTAGATTAATCTATGGGGGCCAAGGCCACCATTGACCACCCCCTGACTCCACCATTGCACCTGGTGGATGATAAAACTGCTCCCTCCACTCGTCCGTCACTCTGAGCTGCCTCTAACAAGAAAAAGAAAAACGTTCCTCTGTTCTCCTCCTCAGTGTAACTCCCCGAACCCCCACTTGAACATCTTACACCAAAAACATTTAGGTTCACTTAAGTCCCTGTTCAATGCCAGTCCAGAAAAACACTCAACTACAAGCATTCACTGTTAAAAGGACGGTGGACATCAATGTACCGCTTGTTAGTGATGGTTTTTACAGAACAGGTACTTTCAAACTTTAGACTCAGAACGTGCAGTTCCACCAACAATCGACATGCGACCATTGAACAATGGAAGAGACCGTGGGTCACTAATCTTTGTAAGACATGCCATCGTTATGGGAAGACAAACTGGTGGAGAAATAAGATGGTTAGAAGGATCTTAATGGGACACCTTGAAATCAGGACTGTGTGTATCCGAAACCTTGACCAAAGCGTCATTGTTGACCCTTAAATTAAGCAGCAATGGAAGATTGGCTCCAAGAGATGTTTGAGAACTGCAACAACTTTGGCGTGTTGATCTGAGCACCAGGTTCTGTAGGATGTACCTAACAAGTGGGATACACCTCACGACCTACAAGTCTTAAGAGGATCTACTATTGATCTCTATGCTGACGATACACTTGTTTATTGTCGAGCAAATCCTTGGGCCTGTCCTGCAACAGAGTACATCTGGTGATTGGGCATTACCAGAAGCATTTTGAATGTTTTCTAATTTGTCCGATGACAACCAACTAGAGGTTGGTTTTCACACAGGGGGAACTGTTACAATGTTACCTGGGAAGGGAAAAACCTCAAACATCTCCCCGCACCTTGAATTTTCTGCAGCCAGCACTTCGCCAAATTCTTTGCCCAAATTCAGTGATTTGTAAAACTGAGCAGCGGTCTGATGTTTTCATTGTCTTCTTCAGATAAACCTCCACGATGGCGTGGGGCTTGTTGTATTTTTAAAGCTGCCTTTGAGAACAGAGGGTCTTTTAATAGACTTGAAGTGACGACAACATCGTATCAATGGAAAGAATGCCCACCGTGCTCGACTGAAGGCCAGCGATAAGAGCGTTTAGCAGCCCAGACTATCTGCAGCATGCCCCCTGTAATCCTCCCTGGACTCCACAGCCGAGCAAAGTTCCAGATCCGATGACACTTTGTTTAATAATACTTTGATTTATTCACCAAATGAACTTTGGCCCGACGGAGGGAGTCACAGCTTATGTCAGGACAGAGTCTGCTGTTTTTCTTGGTATGAACCGTTAGTGAGTTATCCACGGAGAAGTGCTGCAGCTAAAAATAGATTTCAGTTCTGACAGCTGGTTTGGCTGTAAACAGGGTTTCTGCTGGAGGTAAGAAATACCTTAAAACACGTCCTGACTCACAATTCCATATCCTTTGGACAAAAACATCAACACTAAAGAAACCGTATTCCTGTTTTTTTTCATGTTTTAAGTGAAGTACGGGTCTTCAGTTGGAGGAGTATCTGGATTTACTGGTCTATGTTGGACCTGTGGTCAAGAGGTTCGAATCATGACAGAACGAGCCAGAACCAGGATCGAAGCAGCTGAAATGATCTTCCTTCGTAGAGTGTCTTAGAGATCTGGCGAGGAGCTCCATCACCCGAGTGGAGCTCCGAGTAGACCTGCTTCTCCTCTGCATCTACAGAAATGAGCTGAGGAGCTTCATCTGGTTCGGATGCTTCCTGGACGCCGGTGGACCTCACTGAGAAGAGGCCTCGGGGCAGAACTCTCTGGAGGGAGGTAAAATCACCTCAGGGTCCTCCAGAAGGATCTGGGGAGAGGGGGGTCTGGGTATTCCCCCCTGGACCGGTAGCGTCTGAGACCCAACTGTGCATAAATCATTCAAGCTCACAGTGCACCAAAGTACAGCGTGCTGACCAGTTTACTTTTGAGTACTTATACTAGAGTAAACTCCTAACTCAAGAGTCCTTCAGATGAACTCAGCAGACAAATCAACTGAGATGGATTAGATGTTGTCACCTGAGCACGGCAGAGGGGGTTTAAAAGTCCTCAGTTCTCCAGACATCTCTGCACCACTCCAACATGGCGGTGGCAGAATCATGCTTTGGGCTCCAACGTTCCAGGTCATATTTAGGTAAACGTGATGAATACATACCTCAAAGGGTACGATGTCACAAGCTTCTTGATAATGTAAAAACATTCAGTAACTCAACAGCAACATGAAGCAGAATCGTGTTTTCCGGGACTATCCGGTCTTCGGTGGTTAAAACCAGAACAAGTTTCCCTTCCTGAGCGTGTTTTAGCATGAATGGATAAACAAAGCAGGAGTTTTGAAAGTCCAAAGCGTTTCCAGTCTGCTTTTAACAGTTTGAGTACCTTCAAAACCGATCTGCATTTCTATCTTTAGAGGAATAAAGAGGGGCCTTGAAAAACCCGGCGCTCGGCTTTGTGTTATTTTTGGACGGTGTTGTGTTGTGCACCTCTGGGGAGCGCCGTCCTTCAGAGCCATCGGGTCTGGGTGATCCTTTCAGAGACGGTTTGTCTCTGATCAGGTGCTGCAGCTTTGTGTATTTTTGGGTGTCTGGGAGTGTTTGTGTACTTCTGATGCCTACATGGATCAACTGTGACACTGTCGTCTAAAACTAACTCTCATTGGCACGACTGGGTTTTACTGAACGACAGGAGTTAATTTCATCATTTTAAACTAAAAACCAGCAGCTATAGGGAAAGTCTCAGCAGATAGAAACACTTCATTTTGTTTTCTGTGGGACTTCTATCCTCCAGGGGCATGGTTTGTGTTTGGAGGGGTTAAAGCCAAGCAGTTTCTCAGCAGCTGGGATGGATTAAGTGTTTTCTGAGAGTATTTCTCATCTGGACGAAGGCAAAAATAGTAGCAATGAATGTGGATGTTTCCAGAAGTGACCTATCCAACAAACAGGGAGCAAAGTTCCTCGTAAAGCAGGGAAGTAAAGATTACTGAGGTCTGAGCAACTAAACAAACTGTGGAGCTAATACAATCAACTAACTGAAACCAGGTGTGAAGGTAGAGCAGAAAGTAGGACTTCATAAGCGCTGATGTCCGCGGTCGCTGAGGGGTTTGAATAGTGAATGTTTGTTTTTGAGATGAGTGTTTGTCTGGACTGAAACTGAACAGGAAGTGCACGTAAACCTCAATGTTTTTGGTGCTAGATATTCAAGAAGGTAGGAGTTACACTGTGGAGAAGAACAGAGGTGGCACAGAGTGACGGTTCCTGGAGAGAATTTTATCCAACACCAAGTGGTGGAGCCAGGGGGTGGCCACTGGTGGCCTTTGCCCCCCATAGATTGATCTTCAGCCACCCTGGTCATTTGAGGAAACTATATTTTAGAACGATAGGGGTGGCCAGTTTACGTATGGTGGTGGCCATCTTGGATTTTGACATGGCAACCCAATTTTCAATAGAGATCTTTCTTACCTTACGCTTAGATGTAGCTAAACACCTAAATGGACGTTTGTACCACACTTATTTTTTAAGTTATTTCAGCTATTCTTATTCTCCACTGTTGCCTTTGTGCTTGTTCAGGATGGGAGACTGTGACGAAGTGAAGATTCAACACAATCTGCTGCTTCCATAGATAACTTTTACTAAATGTCTTTTGTAATGTCAGTGAATGTTTCTGCTCAGTGCCCTGAGACGACGTATGTTGTGACTTACAGCTACAGAAATAAACTGAATTGAATCGAAGTTATCCGGCTCACAAGACAAACGAACAAAAGGTATTTCCAATTCTCTTATCTACGTGACGGGGAACAAAACAACAACAAAAAATAACAGGAACAAGCTTCAAATAAAGACATAGCACTCTTTAAATTATTGCATATTGCCCATCGTTTTTAGAGTTTTCAATTTCTTTTGTTGGGAAACGACAGAATATGAGTCATGGACGACTTTCAGCTACTACCACACCAAGTTTTAGCCCAGTATCTGTAAAATTCACCAGGTTATTACAGCTAAGGTTGAAAACACTTGTAACAGACATCTTAAATCAGGTCGACTCCAAATGTTAATTGGTGGTTTATGAGATATTTTGCTAACAAACACAAACTCGTACAAATACATTATTTTAGGCAATCTATAAAAAGTGTTGATTTTTACTTTCATCTGTTGTCGTTAGGAGCAAACGCTTGCTTTTTTTTCTTCTTCTCCGGTTGTTTCTTTCTGATTGTTTCTCTCCGGTTGTTTCCTCTCCGATTGTTTCTCTCTGGTTGTTTCACTCCGATTGTTTCTCTCCGGTTGTTTCTCTCTGATTGTTTCTCTCTGGTTGTTTCTCTCTGATTGTTTCTCTCTGGTTGTT